TAGACGCAAGCGATATCGCTTTCCCCGCGTGACATTGATCACAGCAAGATCAGACTGGGGTCCGCCAGCATAGCGACCGAGTCCATTGATGAGCATAGACTGAGCAACAGGTACAGTGCCGATCAAATCAGGGGATACAGTATGATACCTAGCGATCCTAATTTAATCGAGTAGATTATCCATGTTCGTAAAACTCACCAGTCGGCAAGCGTGATCACAGTACTTGCTGGAAACACATGATGGTCAGAAGGTTCATATGAACCAATTTATCGCTCACCATCGTCGATATCGTACATATATGCCAAAGGGTCTTCAGGGTCATAGATTACCAGGGGTCCCCTTAGACCATCGCACTGTTCCATAGGTCAGCCCTCTATTGCACATGCAAGGTTCGAATTATACTTGCATATTGGACGGAATAATGACTATGATACCAATAAGTGCCCGCCTGGTTTGGGGCGGAGAAAGAATGTAGAAAAGAGTGGTTCGGCGTAATGGGGCATTGTGTGACGAAGGCCACTCCATCGGCATAGTTCGTCCGATTCTGGAAGATGCCATGCCAGTGCTGCCATAAACAAGGTTAATTTTAACAACATCCATGATGATTTGAAACTGCTTACAACACTGGTAAGCACGAACATCGAGTCGTCGCTGAGTTGGTTGACCACCTCGATATTAAACTGATCTCCCTATTGTGAGGTCAGTACTGGCACCCGACAAGGAGGTTGAAAAAGTTCACCTTCTGGGCTGTAATCAAGGTTCCAGGAAATGTGCCATCGACAAGAGTTGTTCTGTCACAGATCAGGAATAAGTTTTGAGCACCGTGACAATAGACTCACGAGCGGTTGAAGCCATCTGGAGCGATGTCTTTATTGCTTATAGTTATTCTAGTTGTGGGACCATGTGGAGGGATCTGAGATAGTGGGTACTCTGAGCGAGATACCATAGCTGTAGCATTAATCGATGAGACAAGAGAGACGATTAGAAAAAGAATTAACATCGCGATTTTCAGGATAGACAGTGATACTGTCATTAGCGAGAATAGGATAAGATTATAATGCTCTCGCAGCTTTTATCTTGCAGCGGTAGATAGTCTTGAAGTGTTCTCGATCCGTTCAAGAATGATAACGTGCCACGAAACCGTGATTCGAACATGACCAGGAACAACGTAGACGGAAAAACGGCCAACTGGTTCCAGATGTAGTGCTAGGCAAAAATAGCTTGCATCAAGTCTCCGTGTGCAGAAAGAGAAGAATATCAATCACTAAAGGCGCCTCTCCGTCAAGTACGGCGACTTTGCGAGAGATTTAGGCTATCGGTTATAGGACAGAATAGTCACACACTATTAGATACTATGTGCTGGCATCTCTGCACAGAATTTTGAAAGGAGATGGCCGGATAGTCGAGGTACGATGAGGATGACCAAAGCTTGTGCCATTGTTGGATCGTGCAAGTCGAGCTGAAGTGTCCATAGAGGACTCGTGATAAATGGAAGGTAGGTTAGTTGCTAGCAGGTTATGACAGTGACTGTAATCGCGGTACTGAAGCACGACCACATACAGGCCGCGGCCCGCAGGTAGTGAAGTTGAAGTGAAATTTGGGCCTGGCTTATTATGGCCTGATGCCATGCCGAAAAACATCGCTAGTTAGTTATAGTCACTACAGCGTCGGCCTGGCTTCCACATGAATTGACGGATGGTTGGTTTAGTTAGTACTAGCTCGTCGAAATGGTAGCTGGCAGTGGAAGAAATGATAGGCTAAGGTTAGGGTCCGACTTGCCGTAATTGTAAATTGCAGGATTGATTACTTAATTGGGCTACCAGTGAAGATCGCAAGCTATACATGCATGAACCGCAGACGTCGTTTCTGCTGAATCGTGCTTTGAAACACAACTTCTTCCGAGCTCCACATACGATTGCCATGGACCTCCCCTCATTGCAAATCAACAGGGGTGCTTATGTATTCCCGAATTTCCCGAAGTTCCAATGCATATTTATGCTGTTTGTATCTCTTTTATCATGGCGTCTTGCTCGTACCGGTACCGGTAGACTACTGTTCACACCCGTTTAAACGTTTAAGACCAATTGCAAATCAGGTACATATTTGAAAAGTGCGTTACTTCTGGCTAAATCATGCGATCGCATCCAATACGACTTTCACATAGGCGGAAGGGTTCCCTTAATCTAGCACCAGTGTGACCAGTAACCTTGGAAGCAATTCGCATCCACCTGAACTCCACATGTTCTCCGAATCGCTCAAGCGCTCACTAGATAGTGACCAACGACCACTTGGCAGTTGCATGTGTTCTTTGCTTATCTCCACCTCTACTCCTCCTTTTGCAATTGTGTTCTACTTTTTCGAATCCGTGACCATTCATTTCTTTCCTAACTATACCGTACCATCATTCAGCGTCCACGTGTCCGTCTTCATCGTAGATTCGTGGAGGTTAACGTTCAGATCTCAGTTCCTCATACCGGAGAGATAGGCTACATTGCCTGCCGTGCTACATTTTCTTTCAATCGGATCAGCGCGTTCAAGCTGGGCCGTATTGAAATTGAAAACAGTTTCCCCTGAGACCTCCTTATGCGACGACATTCAACGGATGTCAAGGGCTGACACTGGAGAAAGCCGTGCTAGACGCACAGATTCGTTCGCACATGGACAGCTATATACTTCACTTTCAATAGTATGACGTCGTCGAGACATTCGAACCCTATTTCCAAGAGAAAAACAACAGCAAACGTAGTGTAGAGACATCTCTTATTGTTACTCACGCTACAAGATGCCCAAAGCTGAACGAAGCGCTTGTCGACAGTAAACGACGTTGGTGCCGATAGTTTTGTATCGTGCAAACGAATGAAATCGCAAGGCTCGTACAACTGGTCGCTAATAAGTTATCTTGGGGGTGTCTTTACAAATAAAACTGGGAGGTCCTCTCGGGCAAGCGTCTTCTACGGTCCTTCTGGTGCAGCAGAAGGTGGTCGAGGCCGGTCTTCAACAGAGAGGTTGGGTAGCTCGATGGTAGGTGATTGATCCTGATCGGAAGGCGGGATATCGATGCCATACGGCTGACGCTCTGGAATACTTGATGGTTGATTAAGCTGCTCTTGGGCTAGGTGTGCAATGTCGGCGAAAGGACTCTGCACCTAAGTCATGTGAGTTGTGGTTGTGTCGTAAGAATAGATCACACTCACCTAGGGACAGCAGACCGAACATGACACAACAAACTTCTGTGTCCGGCACTCTGTACTGCATCGTGACAGGAGGGGCAAGAATTTTTGATGGTGCAGCAGCAACGAAGGTGCATGTACCATGCAACCCGCCGACAGTGGTTATCTGGCCCTGCTTGTGCTTGGTGGTTGACTTGGTTGTCAAACGCCAAAGATCATGCAACTTTGAGAACAAGCACGAGACCACAGTCTGTTGAATCGTCTTTGTTGACCTTCGATGAGCTTTGCTTGATCCTGACTGATGAGCGGTGCCGAAGAAACATGCGGATTACTAGGAGCCTCGATTGATCCAGGTAACCTGGGCCAGACGGCATCAGGATTCAGGAAGTTCCAACTTCAACGTTTCAACCTTGACCAATCAGGGCATGACAAAGTTTTGACCCTAACCTTAGCCTATCCATCTCTTTCTATCACCATTCTGACGAGCTAGTACCACGACTTGACCAGTCACCGCTGTACTTCATAGCATCAATGGCTTCAACCAAACCAACCAACCAACCAATGACATGCAACGTTGACTGACCCTCAGTGCTTCTATCCCTACTTGTCGCAGCTCAACCTTCTCATGAGGATACCCTCGACATATCCTTTTAAAATTTAGACACCGTCTCTTTCCTTCACAGATAGTTTGCAGACAAAATTTAATCACCACGGTGAATCGAGCTTGATGTTTTTGGATAGCTGTGCTTCAGTTTGGACACGATTGGGCCGCTGCGCCGCGCCGCGACGGCTCTGACCTTGTGAAATATGTCGGGTCATGGACACCTTGGTTTCAATCCCTTGACTTGCCGACACTACTGCTTTATCCTTTCCTTTATCCTCGGGCTCCCGTGTGTGTACTAATGCCTCCAGTTAACTCGCAGTAGATTCTTAATGGCTCCCTCGCTTATAGACCACTTAGCCGAGCCCTGTGAAGCCAGGTCCAAGCCATTATCATGGGCCTGGTTTATGAGGCATGAGGCAATGCCAAGCACGTCACTAGTCGCTGCAGCGGCGCCCCGGCTTCCAACATCGACATCAACCGAGTCACTATTTGCCTGCGATCGTGGATTTGGTACCGCAATCATGGTCACTGTCATAGCCTGCCAGCAAATAACCGACCCTCCATTGGTGACGAGTCCTCGAAGGTCACTTCAGCTCCGCTCGCACGATCCAATAACTGCACAACCCTTGGTCATCATCATCACACCTCAACTATCATCAAGACTGCCGGCTGTCTTTTGTCAAAATTCCGTGCCGAAACATCTAAGTTCCTAGCGCATAGTCGGCACCACCAAAGTCCCGACATGCATTAGCACCTTGTACCTCACAGCCTGCGACCGTTTCTCTCCGACAAATGCTAGCCTGATACTCTCGCATGGCCGCTGTACTTCACGGAGAGGCACCACCAGTGATTGACATTCTTTTTTTTCCTGCGCATGAGAGTTGATTCAAGCTGTTGTGGTATCCTAGCACTAATAGCTGGGGTCAATTGGCAGTTTCGCCGTCTGAGTTATTTTGGATCGTGTCTTAGTCATGGTGTCGTGGTACGTCCTTGAAGGCCCATCGACAGATCGTTGATAAGTCCAGGAGAAGTACACCGTTGACATGTGGATAACAGGGGTGCTGAGAAACCGTCTTCGGCGCAATCACACACCGATACAATCGAGAGGTACCAATTACTTCGAACGAGAACGAAAGCTATCTACTGCTGCAAGATAAAAGCTGCGAGGACATTATAATGTTTTCTTACTACTACTCTCGCGAACGATAGCATTGCCACTTATCGCGATGTTTATTCTGTTTCTGGTCGTTTCTCTCATCTCATCGATTAATGCTACATCCATAGTATCTCGCTCAGAGTCCTACCCACTATCTCAGCCCGCTGTACATGGTCCCAAAACTAGATTAGTCATAGGTAACGGACGCATCGCTCCTGATGGATACAATGTCGAAGGCGTCAACCGTTCGTGAGTCTATTATCACGGCACTCAAAACTCATTCCTGATCCTTGACAGAACAACTCTCGTCGATGACGCATTTCCTGGAACTTTGATCACAGGCCAGAAGGTGAAATTTTGTTGATCTCCTAGTCGGGCGCCAGTGCTCACCTCACATCAGGGAGATCACTTTGATATTGATGTGGTCAACATGCTCAGCGACCACTCGATGTTCAATGTTACCAGTGTCGTAAGCAGTGTCAAATCATCGATGTTGTCAAAACTAACATTATTTGCGGCAGCACTGGCATGGCATCAACCAGTATAAAACGAACCATGCCGATGGGACGTCCGACATCACACAATGCCCCATTACGCCAAACCACTCATTTTTATATTCTTTCTCCGCCCAGAACCAGGCGGGCACTTTCTGGTACCACAGTCATTATTCTGTTCAATACGCAAGTATCACTCGCGGCTGCCATGCAGAGGGCTGACCTATAGAACAGTGCGATGGTCTCAGGGGACCCCTGATAATCTATGACCCTGAAGACCCTTTGGCATACATGTACGATGTCGACGATGGTGAGCGAGAAATTGGTTCATATGAACCTTCTGACCATCATGTGTTTCCAGCAAGTACTGTGATCACGCTTGCCGACTGGTGAGTTTTACGAACGTGGATAATCTGCTCGGTTAAATCAGGATCACTAGGTATCATGATGCAGCCCCCAAATTGCGCGGCAATATATCTTACGCCGATTCTATGCTCATCAACGGAGTCGGTCGTTATCATGGTGCTGAGGGACGCCGGACTAAGCCTGCTGTGATCACTGTCACGCCAGGAAAGCGATATCGCTTGCGCCTGATTCAAATGTCATGCGAAGCTAACGTTCAATTCTCCATCGATGGCCACAACTTAACTATCATCGAAGCAGATGGAGAGCTGACGGAACCTCTGGTAGTAGACCAACTCCAAATTTTGGCGGGTCAGCGTTACTCCGTGGTTCTAGTAGCCGATCAGCCAGTGGATAACTACTGGGTACGCGGTATTCCCAACTACAATCAAACCTATAATGGCTCTGCTATCCTACGCTACCAAGGTGCCACAGAGGCCGAACCGACTACGGTCGATACCCCACCTACGAACCCATTGCAAGAGACCAATTTGCATGCTCTAATAAATCCCGGTGCTCTAGGCATTCCAGAGTATGGTAAAGCAGATATCAACATTACCCTCGAGGTTTCCTTCGATAATTCAACTTTCCAATTCCATGTCAATGATGCCACATTCGAATCCCCTCCTAGTCCTGTTCTATCCCAAATTCTTGAAGGAACAAACGCTTCTCAGCTGCAACCACACAAGAGTGTATATGCTCTCAAGGCCAATCAAGTGATAGAGTTGACGATAAAGATGATAAACGCTCCAGGTGGACCTGTACGTCTTTTCCATTCATTCGATATTTACGTGACTAATACAGACTTATATTATACCAGCATCCCATGCACCTCCATGGGGTAAGTTCACTGTGACTTCGGAGGCATGTTTGGCTGGTACTCATGATTATTAGCATTCATTTGATGTCGTACAGAGCGCAGACAGCAGTACCTTCAATTATGTGAACCCTGTTCGCCGCGATGTGGTCAGCGCTGGGAGCGATGGGCAGCAAACGGTGATCCGATGGGTCACCGACAATTCTGGTCCCTGGTTCGTGCATTGGTATGACATCAATTCTATCAAGCTGTCAAGAAGGGTGCTGACTCTGAATAACAGTCACATTGACTGGCACCTTGATGAGTATGTGTGTGAATCTTCCCGTGAACGAAATGGCTAATCCTTCATATCCAGAGGCTTTGGGGTGGTAATGGCGGAAAGCCCCTGGGATACTCCCGCACATGTGAGCCCCGTGCCAGGTAGGTCATACGTCAAGAATCCGTTCTTCTATTGCTGAACTGCTTTACAGACGAATGGAAACGCTTATGTCCAATCTATAACGAATACATGAGACCCACCCTGACAGGATCTGAGGGAGATTTAGATCTTGATTGAACAACCGCCAATGTCATGTTAGTGGAAGGAGCACTTTCGTTCTACTCAATAACGATGTTATTTGACCATTTTATTTCGTGCACAAGATGTCAGACAACAAATAAATCAGGCACGTTATTGACTGGACATTTTGTTTGCTATTCTATTTCGTACTCGGCATACTGTGTTCGAGGTTTTCTATGCAAGAGAGCTGTAGCTGAGTGAGGCCGTTGAAGTTGAACGCAACAGTGCTCAATATCGCGAACGCTGATGCTGACATGGACTGGCAAGAAACAGCGAAACCAAGTCTTAAAATGCTTCGCTGGAGAGATGTGGAGACGGTGGCCGAAGAATGTTCTGCTTTCTGCCATATGCCCGTGACACATTTTTAGCATTCAGATCAGAGACAAGCATGGAAATGGGAAGGCGCTGGTGCTCAGCGTTCAGTGCCAAGAGTCAGTCGATTAGCGGAGAAAATCATCAGAAAAAGGTGAAGCAAGCGAGACAGCCGAAAAATGGTCGAGAGGTGGGCATAAATGAGTTCGGACAAGCAATAATGAATGTAGACAAAACAAAATGGCTAGAGATTAGCACTAGTGCATGCAAGCGACGACGAGTGCAGAGAAAGTGAGAGTGAGTTGAGACAACGTGCATACACCTTATACTCCCTAGTGCTTGGTTCCATTTAGTTTGCCGATGGGCATTGCAAGAAGTGTGTAGCGCAGCGAGTGCGAAATGGGTGGTCCGAGACGATGAATGTTGAGAGTATGCTGATAACGAATGCGAAGATGAGATTTTGATACTTGTTATATTTATTATTGCTTCCAGTAAAACTGTACATGGGTACTTGTACTTGCAAAACAGTAAGAGCCTCAGGTATGGCTAGGCCGAACGATTATGTGAAGGTGGAAGCAGAAGGGAGTGGCGCTGCACGTGACAGGGTAGAATAGTAATGATGAGAAAGAGGGTAAGAGAAAGGAATCAGTACAGTATAGGACCGGCATTTGAGCCAGCACCGTCATTTGAGCCAAACAGCTACCACACACTCAACATTTGCTTATTGACACATCGGATAGCACAGATATATTCTAAATACATGCATCTGAGATACTGTCGAGTAGAAATGAAAAAAAAATTGTATATGCATGCTACAGGTCAGAAACATGCCCTCTTTTGGCACTAATCAATGCAGCGAGAAGGAAGTATTCAATTATCAATGTCAAAAATCCTGCCAAATGAAAGATCTATATCCCTAGTACAGTTTCAGTACAATGATATATGTCCTACACACAACAACATGCTGCCACTGGGATCCCGGACGAGGGTCTCAAAATCCATTATCAAATGTGTTTATCAGGACAAGATTGCGAAACTAACCCAATTTGGACTTTTGTTTACAGGCTCGATGAACACCATCCTGCAGTCATATTCTGCATATCTCAGTCATGGTTGGTCGTCCAAAATCAGTCACCAGGAAAAAACAACTTGCTAGGCAAGAGCAAGAGATTGCCATTACTCGAGCCATCAATGAGTACCGTGCCGAGCAGAGAAAAGATCAGCCTACCAAAAGCCTCCGTGCCATCTGTCGAGAAGTCCAGGAGGAATATCGAGCAGAAACTGGGAAACCAGTGGTCGTTGACCACATGACTGTCTCGCGTCGACTTGCAGGGAATAGAAGCAGCGCCCAGTACATGGCAGAGGAAAGAGCATGGTTAAAATCAGAGGAGGCAGAGAAGGTTGTTGAGTATTGTCTTGAACTTGGACGTCGTGGATTTCCGATTGGTCATCGTCGACTCAAGGAACATGTTGATGCCATTCTACGAGCACGACTTAAGGAAAAGTTCCCAGCTGAAGGAGTAGGAAAAAATTGGACTGACCGGTTTGTTGAAAAACACATGGACAAGCTTGGTGTTACGTCAACTGTAGGTCGGCGTGTGCGAACTAGGATAGGTCTTCTCAGCGACGACTCGAGTGAGTCTACTGAAGCTGAGCGTGGTCTGGCCTTGACGGAACGTCAAGGATTCCTCCGGCGATCTCGGTAAGACGGCGCTCGTCGAGATGCAGGGCTAGCGGATACGTGCAAAGTCGTACGGGGACGATGATGAAGTGCGGTCTCACACAAGGAAGCGGTTAAGCTAAGATGAGCAAGTTCTTGGTAGAACCTAGTAGATTAAAGTGAAGTTCAATCTACAACAATGTGCCTACTTATACATAGTGTATGTAGGTGTTCAAGCTCAGTCTGTAATCTATAGTATATCGTACATCTGAGATAACCAGACATGAGGTTAGATAAAGTACATGAGGCTTAGCCTCTTAATCATACATGCAGCGCCAAGTGCAGCTGCGCATAGGTACAGGAAGCGCCAAGCGCTCCGGGTCTTCATACATGAGGCGCCAGGGGCGCTCCGGATCTTCATGAAGCGACATGCTGTATACATGCGCTGATCTAGGGTGTCCATGAGGCGTACAGCCTCCATGGAACAGGTACAAGGCCGTCTAGGCCAGGGGCGGGGTCATAGCGCCTTGAGGCGGGGTCATAGCGGTCCAGACCGCTGTCTTTCTAGGCGCAGGCGGCGCACCGCCGCGCGGGGAGTCTAGCAGAGCGGGGGCAGGTGTAGGGAGAGCTGGGGCTCTAGTAGGTGTTACAGATCCCTGTAACACTTGGCAGATTCTGGACTCGATCTCTTGACACCGCTCATGGTCGCGCTGTCAATCCCACAACTCATGATCAATGGTTCACACTACTAGAAGGTGCTATGACATCACTGGGTATAGAAGAAGATTGCATTTGGGCAGCAGACGAGACTGGATTCCAGCCAGGTGGTGGAAACAAGGAGCGTGTTTTTGGTCCTTCTGGGGCAAAGATTCAGTACCAACAACGAGATGGAAATCGAGAGAACATCACCGTTATGGTTACAATCTGTGCAGACGGCACCGAGATACCACCCACTGTCATATACAAGGGTAAAGCTTTTGGAACCCAGTGGCATCATAATAACAATCTGGGGGCATCGTGAGTACTTGCTATCTACAGGGGATGTACTGTGACTCATTGCATGGGCAACTCGCAGCACAGGAAGAGGCGAAGAATAATTCAAAAAAACGCGGGAAGTTAATGGGAAATGGCTTACCTTGTTATCTGAGTGGAGATGCTTTCTACACGCGAGTTGTCGACCATGAGAAAGCAGCAGCAGATGAAGAAGTGGCCAAGCAAGCTCGAAAAGAGGGGAGAGAACAACGTGCTGCAGTTTTGGAGGAGTGGAAGAAGACGGAAGAAGCAAGAAAGAAGCGTAACAGGGAATTAAAGGGGAAGTATCAAATGGACTTGGAGCGGTGGAAGGAGGAAAAAGAACTCGCGAAGTTGGAGAAGCGTCGGCTGGCGTGGAAAAAGCCAACGCGAGGTAAATTGGAGGCGCCGTTACCTAAACCGGTACTTGCGGAGGGCACTGCAGGTGACGAGCTTGATGTTGACGGTGATGACTATGAGAATGCCAGTGACGAGGATGAAGAGGAGTAGTAGTAACTAACCTGAGAATCATTATGACACGATAATCCGAGTTGGCGCTTAGATGTGCGCTATATCCATTTTAGGGCTGGCTCAAGTGGTGAAAAAAACAGATATCGAGACATTTTACTGATCATTGCATTGCACACTCGTCACCCATTTGATTGCTCTATAGTGTTGCATTAGTATGGTCATTGTATAACTAAACATAACTGTCACATCAGATTTTTGTTTAATGGAGGAGTGTTAACTTGAGACGGCCAACAAAATTCGCTGGCTCAAATGCCGGTCCTATACTGTACTGGGTGTACGAATATCGTGTAGCCCAAGTGACGAGAGTCGTATAGATAATTTATTGACAGATTCCAAGCCGGTGGGCTGCGAGTGGGGTGACAGTGACGAGAAAAGGGTGTTAAGGGTTGAACGAATCGGTAGCGACGAAGGATCAGCGGGACGGAGATTGTGCTGAAGTGCTGATTGATGACGCCAGTGAGCTGAAATCATGGCTGCGGTAAATTGGCGGTAAACGTTGGTAATCCTTACAGCATATTACTTTCTTAAACTAGTACTAGATGGTCCCACGAGTCCGTGTGTCCCAAGAGTCCGCGCATTGACTCTAGCACACGCAATTCTGTACAGAATCCTTATCCATGATAGATCTGGATTCGCCCAAACATAATACACACTGCCATATATATTTTTTGAAGAAAATCGAAGTAGATCTTGTTCCATGGGCAACTTATCAGTGCGAGAGGCATAGAAGGCTCACTCTAAAGGTCAGATCTCCACATATAATTCTGGAATATTGTGAGATGGTTATATACATGATTAGAGAATACTAAAACAAATTTATTCGGGGCACATGCTTGTCAGGATCATCTGCGATAAAGAAATAAGCCCCAGACGTGACAATCTGCCCAAAGCGTGACATAGAGACTGTGTAATCAAAACTCCACAATGCCGAAATGCTTTACACAGGCACAACTTCACAACATTTAAACGGTGCGAATTCTGCGGAGCGTGAAAAGGCATCGCGGCAGACGTGTGACATAGTGTGACGAAGTGCGCGAACTCTAGGGAAAATGCACTTTTCTGCGCGGTAACTCTCCGCTGGACTCAACACGTCAATTTTCGAAAAAAAAACTAGCAGAGGTTGTACTTTCGATGTCACGCTATCGAACTGTCAAAGAATTAATTTTGTTTGTTTGTGCGATGTGGAGTAATAACCGTTTTGCCAAAAATGCGCGAACTCCCGTGGACATCTAGTATAGTAAGAACTGTTGAGTCACTGTACACATAATAATCAATCGATTATGTAACCAATCACGACACTTCTCCTTCTAGTACCAACCATTCCGACGAGCTAGTACTAACCAACCAACCATACCACATAGAAGCCAGGCCGACACTGTAGTGACTGTCACTAGTGATGTGCTTTGGCATGACCTCAGACCCTCATAAGCCAAGCCCCAAATTAACATCAACTTGACTATATGCGGCCTCGTATATTTGGGTAATTTTGGTACCGCAATCACAGTCACCGTCATAGCCTCCCAGCTAATAACTGATCCTCCGTTGATTACGAGTCTTCGATGATCACAGCACAATCCAATAATGGCACAATCTTTGGTCACCCCACCGCGCGTCAACTACTAGGCTACCGGCTATCTCCTTCAAAATTCTGTGCAGAGATACCGAAGTGGCTAGACACCTAAGGTCCTGACATGCTACCATCACATAGTACCTAATAGCGTGTGACCATTTCTGTTCGACAGCTAAATGTTACAGTAGCCTCCGTACTTGACGGAGGGCACCATTGGTGATTATCTTTTTTCTTTTCCTGCACACGAAGAGTTGATTAAAATTATTGTGGCCTAGCATGACACCTGGGGTCGGTTGGGCGTTTCGCCGTTTAAGCTATTTTGGATCGGGTCCGATTCACGGTTTCGTGGTATCTCATCATTCTTGAACAGATCGACAGATCGTTGCTACAACGCTGACTCCTGTAGCAGTACACCATTGAGACCGGGGCGCCGAGCACCCTTTTTGCAGTGCAATCACATGCTGATAAAGTTGTAAGATGCCAAATGCTTTGAAATGGGAACACTTCAAGGCTATCTACCGCAAGATAAAAGCTGCAAGAGCGTTATAATATTATCCTGCTTTCCCCTACTCTCGCCAACGAAAGCCCCACTATTCATCGTGAAAAATCGCGATGTTTATTCTCTTTCTAATAGTTTCTCTCATCTCATCGATTAATGCTACAGCTCTAGTATCTCGCTCAGAGTACCCACTATCTCAGCTCCCTGTACATGGTCCCAAAACTAGATTAACCATAGGCAATAGCATCATCGCTCCCGATGGCTTCGCACGCCCGTGAGTCTATTATCATAGCGCTCAAACTCATTCCTGATCTTTGACAGAGCAACTCTTGTCGATGGCATATTTCCTGCACCCTTGATTGCAGCCCAGAAGGTAAACTTTTTAAAACTCTTTGTCAAATGCCAGCGCCTGACTTCACAGTAGGGAGATCACTTTGATATTGAGGTGGTCAACAAGCTCAAGGACGACTCGATGTTCGTGCTTACCAGTATTGTAAGCAGTTTCAAATCATCATGAATGTTGTTAAAATAAACCTTGTTTATGGCAGCACTGGCATGGCATCTTCCAGAATCGGACGAACTATGCCGATGGAGTGGCATTCGTCACACAATGCCCCATTACGCAGAACCACTCTTTTCTACATTCTTTCTCCACCCCAAACCAGGCGGGCACTTATTGGTATCATAGCCATTATTCTGTTCAATATGTAAGTATTGCTCGAACCTTGCATGTGCAGTGAAGGACTGACCTATGGAACAGTGCGATGGTTTAAGGGGACCCCTGGTAATCTATGACCCTGAAGACCCTTTAGCATATATGTACGATATCGATGATGGTGAGCAATAAATTGGTTCATATGAACCTTCTGACCATCATGTGTTTCCAGCAAGTACCGTGATCACGCTTTCCGACTGGTGAGTTTTACGATCATGAGTAATCTGCCCGACTGAATCAGGATCACTAGGTATCATACTGTAGCCCCCGAATTGCTCGGCACTGTACCTGTTGCCAATTCTATGCTCATCAATGGACTTGGTCGCTATGTTGGCGGACCTCAGTCTGAGCTTGCTGTGATCAATGTCACGCGGGGAAAGCGATATCGCTTGCGCCTAGTTCAAATGTCATGCGACTCCAACGTCCAATTCTCCATCGATGGTCACAACTTAACTGTCATCGAAGCGGATGGACAGCTGACAGAACCTCTGGTGGTAGATCAACTCCAGATTTTTGTCGCCCAGCGCTACTCTGTGATTCTAGTAGCCGACCAGCCAGTAGATAACTACTGGGTACGCGCTCTTCCTAATACGGCGAATGCGAACTACAGCGGAGGATTGAACACTGCTATCCTTCGCTACAAAGGTGCCCCAGAGGCTGACCCGACTACGCCTAATATTCCTGCCACGAACCAATTGCAAGAGAGCAACTTACATGCTCTTCTCCATCCCGGTACTCCTGGGATTCCAGAATATGGTAAAGCCGATGTCAACCTCAACCTCCCGGTTACCCTTAATGCCGGAAATTTCTATGTCAATAATGTCACATTCGTAAACCCCACCGTTCCTGTTCTACTCCAAATTCTTAATGGAGCTCAAAACGCCACTCAGCTGCTCCCAACCGGAAGTGTGTACGTTCTCGGGGCCAACAAAGTGGTAGAGTTGACGGTGTCAATAGTCAGCGCTCTAGGTGGACCTGTACGTCTTTTCCATTCATTCGATGTTTACGTGACTGACGTATACTGTACTAGCATCCTATACACCTTCATGGGGTAAGTTCTCCATGACCTCAAAGGCATGCCTAGTTGGTACTCATGGTTATTAGCATACATTTAGTGTCGTAAAGAGCGCAGACAGCAGTACCTTCAATTATGTGAACCCCGTTCGCCGCGATGTGGTCAGCGCTGGGGTCATTGGGCAAGAAATGGTGATCCGATTTCTCACTGACAATTCTGGCCCGTGGTTCATGCATTGGTATGTCATCATTTTTACGGAGTTGTCAAGAAGGATACTAACTCTGAACCAACAGTCACATCGACTGGCACCTTGCAGCGTACGTGTGTAAATCTTCCCGTGAACGAAATGGCTCATCCTTCATTTTCAGCGGTTTCGCCGTGGTAATGGCAGAAAGTCCCCCAGATACTCCCGCGCATGTGGACCCCGTGCCAGGTAGGTCATACGTCAAGAATCCGCACTTCTATTGCTGAATTGCTTTACAGATCAATGGGAACGCTTATGTCCAATCTATGACCAACACCCAGATCCCACGGTCGCTGGGATGACTGAAATTTACTCTGCATAGTTATATCACCCTTTCAATCACTATGGACCGGCGGTGGCGCCATGAATCTTGCTTGACTTTCTTATTGTTTGCTGCGACCAATCCAAATGTGAATCTTATTGTACACTTTCAAATCTTCATGCACATGACGGACATGTGGGGTTCTGATCGATCGATCTCTAGCTTGGGTGTCCCTTCCTTGTATTTGTGTTCTGTCGGCTGCATTCTCCCTTCCAATGTGTCTATATTTATATTCCCCAATACTTACTATGTTGGGAGATGGATGGAGAATGGAGTGGAGAAGGTTTCTGTAGAAAATAAATGACATGCGTCTGTCATTTGAAGCGTGGAAAACGCTTTCCGGTTGCCGATAATCACAATGATATGATCATTGTCCTACTTATTTCTTCTGCCTCAGCCAATTCAAAATCGTTTATCCTTTGCCATATCTTGAGTATACAGCACGACATATCATGCTGCCTCCAGTGTCGCGTCTTCCACACGGCTGAATGCTCTTCCGAACTTGTGGAGACTCGTGCCTTCGGAACGTGTCCGTCGAAAATGGATTAGTGCACAATGCACGGGTCTGCATCACCGCTCTTCATCAAAGATTCATTGAGATTCGTATTAGACGTGGCCACGTGCTCCTCTGCGCTCAGCATAATCTCTTTTCCCTTAAGGTTCTCCATGGTAAATGTCAGTGGAGCTGAGTAGTTCGATTCTCCGTTCATTTGTGTTGTCGCCCAACGCTCACAGCTTTAGAACCCTGCAGCCCTGCACTATTTCTAACTTTGATAAGGCAATTCTACCTACTCTGAAACAGTTCGACTCCGGATCTCAAAGTAAATGAGGTACTACATGTCGGCAGAGTGAGTTATGTAAGACCTCAATATTCAATCACCACTGACCAAGTATATTGTCTAGTCATTTATAAGGAGTAGCTTATTACTTGTTATCTGACTCTGTCGGACTTCTTTATTCCCCGGTGGTGCACTGTGCCTGTGCCTGTGCCTGCACAATCGCCCACTCTGCGCTCACTACCTTTCTCGACGACTCCCGGTCCAGAAAGTCCCCTCCTGCTCCATATTTCCATCGGATTTCTAAGTTCGTCTGTCTAGGGACGACAACGTTGACAGTATGGCTGGGAGCGATCCCATAAGAAGCTCGACTTGATGGTCGAAATCGATTTGATTGTTTGATCCTTGTTTACTGTCCGCTAGGGTCAAACCCTATGTTGGACACTACCTACGCTATCGTGCCGTGTCTAGTCTATTTCCGTTGTCCGTATCACGGTGTCCATGCTGTACAATGGTCCCGGGTTGCACGAGGACGATAAGGCCTTCTTCAGGCTCTCGATATGATGGTATGTTTTGTCGTGCTTCCTCTACTCCTCCGAGCGTCTCTTTTTTGGGGGATTGACGTCTCCGTGCCTCAGTCACCTTGTTCTCGCCACGCAAGTTAGAACTAAACTTATTCTTTTCCTTTCGCTTAACAGGACTTGGTCCGACCTCTCTATGCATCACCTCTCTCTGGTTGACGAAGGCTGGGCATACGAGAAGAAACCCGATTGGATTTGGCCAGCCCTTGATCCCATGGCCGACTGTACTATCTCATGGCGGAACTGTATCCTTCTGTCGAAAACGATCCTCTGCTGTCGCACTCCATGTCCTGCAAATTCTGCTTTCAGGATTGGTAGTACCGAATCACACATAGTGCACCTTGCTCTCGTCGACGGCTAGACTTCAAGATGCTCGCAGTACTGGTCATGGCACCCGTCTGTAATTACTGCTCTTGCAGGTTGTGTTCCAGACGAGCTTCTGGGATAGACTGGGTACTAGGATATCATCGAGTCATTCGACTCGGACGCTTACTTATCTGATATACATTGCACCAGCCTCCCATACACCTTCATGGGGTAAGTTCTCCTGACTTCTATGGCATAGTCTGGCTGGTACTGATGAGAATAGTATTCCGTCCGTGTCATACAGAGTGCAGGAAACGGTACCATCAATAATCATCACGTGAACCCAGTTCTCCTCGACGTCATAAGCGCTGGCGGTCTACGACAATTCTGGCATTTGATTCTTGTATTGGTATGACATCGTTGCTATCGAGCCGTCAATGATGGTACTGGCTTTGAACCAACAGTCACATAAACTGGCATCTCGAAAGCGTATGTGAAAGTCCTCGCGAAAGAATTTTCTAATCCTTCATACCAGCGGTTTTGCCATGGTAATGGCTAAAAGTCAGAAACCTGCGCAAATATGAACCAAGTGCCAGGCAGGTCATCCGTGAAGAATCTGAATTTTCATGCCTGAATTTCTTTCCAGGCCACGGGATCAGTCATGTCCGACCTTCAACGCTCTCATACCCTTATAGTTGGGGGTGAGGGGATCTCAATTATTACGAGGCAGCTGCTAATATTTCCACTGACCTTTACCCACCACCTGCGCTCCACTCATCGACATAGTAGTAGACGTCCCACCCATTTTCAGTTATCAAGGTTTACAGGACAACGGGATGCAAGCGAATTTCTTGTCTACTTAGATATTTCAAGTACTGCTATGGCCAACCCTCTACCTCATTATCAATTATGATACGCGGTACTGGCTGATGCTAGTTTCCATTATCTAGTTGACTCCGTACAGGATATGATGATTAGCCTTACTATAGGTGTCTTGACTACATACTCGATGCAGCGCTTGTCAAATTTATATTTAATCGATACTTGAAGCTTGAAGTTCGCCACCTTGCGTTATATTGACGTCAAAACGATCGAGCATGCAGGGACCCAGTACTTGTCAGGCCTATCTTTTTGAGCGCGAGGTTAGACAACCTAACACGTATGGCTGTACTAGACATTCGATCACGTCCTACAAAACTGTATGCCGACGTAAATCTCGTGTACAGCTCTGGTAAGGGCTTCGCATATGCTACGCCGTTCTGTGACCAATTTAGCTCTAATTCGTGTCAGCCTCCAGTCCAAGGCCATACTTATTAACATGTCAACCACATACCCACCCTGTCTCTTACACTCCACCATCAGTGTTCAAGTGGGGCATCTTTGACTGCCGACGTGCCAATCCGATCTTCAACACTACCATGGCCCCTTCGAGCAGCACCGCTTCTCCTACAGCAACTGCCACATCCTCCGCGGACCAGTCACATAAGCGTGTTTTCCCATTCGCAGCGCTCATTTTGCTTGCTTTGTGCATCGCATACATCATTGGTTACCTCGTCTACCATCGGATCCTGAATTCATGGAACGCTAGGCAGAACGCGGAGAAGGTGCAGAACTTCCCAAACGAGTTTTTTGAGAAGAAGCCGAGAAGTACGTCCGATAATCTGTCAGCCACTTTGCGTCGAACTCACGAGATGATGATGACCATGAAGGACCGCCTCGCTTCACATGGACTCAGAGCATACGGAAGAGCGAGGCTATTGGAGAAAATGCAGAGTCAGAGGCATATGTGCGTGGCAGCCTCATCGTGCATGCATTTACTCAACGATTTTCTCTTCCAGCATTCCTTTTCGAGCTCCCCTGATGGGAAACCCCTCGTTTCACCACCGCCTGTAGCTGTGATCAAAGAGAACGCGTCCAGTGGTCCAGCTGTCACCCAATCGCACAGGGACGTTCGCGCTACATTTCCCGAGCGTATTGCAAGAGCTGCTAGGGAGAAGGGGTCGCGAGTGCTCTCGCGTGGTCGTGTGACAGAAATTGAAGCTGATCCAAAGCTCGCACCTGTGCAGGGGCCACTCAGACCACTCTCGATCTTGTCGTCAAAGAACAAGGAGAGACAACGAGTTTCATTCAATTTAGTGTAAAGTCTTGGTCCAGTTTGTTTATTCGTCGTTCGTTTGTTGTATTTTGTTTGATTCTATTTTGTTTTGGGGTTGTCGCGACACAAGCCTCTGACGTCGAACAACTCTTAATCACTTTACTACAGCTGGGGCTAATATCTGTGCTACATGCTGAGCGGGACAGATACATCAGCGCCAGGTCAAATGAACTTTGATTTGTATATCACATCTTGTCCAGAGATGGTGCAGTGGTGCTACAAATGTAATACAATGATTTCGACAGTCATATGAAACCAGATAAATTAATATGCGTATCGATAATAGGCAATGACAACATAGAAGACGCTTTAGAATTTGAGCGACTCAACTCCTTCTCATCATCATGAGTCGCATATGAGGTGGGACTGGCAGAGCGATTGTCGAGTAAGTACCGTTTTTCTTCATCTGCCGACTCGCGAGGTGAAATGGCCCGGGAACGTATGACCTCCCCAATTTTGGGGATCTTTGGTAGCGCACGATTCCTGTTCGCCCGCGTGATATCTTCGCTGGGAGAGTTGGGGGTAGGACTGGACTCCTTTGCGTTGGTGATGTATTCTCGGGGAAGGAAGTCATCGAAAGTCTTTGCGGGGCGCTTGACAGAGCGGGCACGGATGAGAGCAGGGTCCCTGCGTTCTGCATAGGGAGCAATGTAAGCAATTGGGCGTCATGTTGGGGGTCACGAACTCGCCTGTTATGGTCACACTGCGACGAGGAGTGGCAGGTGCTGACACAGGTATCAGAACACCATAAGTCTCTCCTGAAGGATTCTGGTAAAGTTGACCGGAGCGGTCGCGGAAAATATACTGCTGGGTATCAGCATCATATGCAATCCGCTTTATGCCCTCCGGAAGACGGTACGAATCCTGGGAGTTAGTTAGCTGACTGTAGGTTACGATGATAAACTGGACTGCTAGTCCACTACGAACTTCGTCAAAATAAGCCATAAAATGGATGGTGGAAGTTGAGAATGAAGAGATGAATGATCCATGCTGTAGTCCTAGAGACTCCTATGTATAGTATCGAGCACCACAGTCGGCACGTGACGACTGCGATGTACTGCCATGGTATGTGAAATCAGTACAATCAACCATATTTCAAACTTTTGGCTATGTTGGAGACCAAGGGAAAACGGCGACCGAGAACCATTCTGGAAGACGGTCAAGTTTGCCCATGGGCCATTAGACAATATTGAATTGTATACGAGAGGTTTACTTAGTAAGATGCACAAATATGGAGTCAAAACCCACGAGTCAAATGAATAGGGACGATATCGACCTGGTGACTGAGTAAAAATAACCAAAGAACAACTGTGTAGAAACTCATCTCTGATGCCAAGGAACCCTATATATCTGACAGATAGGAACTGATCATGATACTCTCTCATGGTATTGTCATCGCGCGTTGTCTAGACATATTTACTCTTCGGTATGCGTGATCGGAGGAGGACGGACTGCTAGTTGGTATGCACTTGATTAGTTTCGCTAAGTTACTGGTACTTATCACCGTGACGTCCTTACCTGGCTGTTAAGTTATTGTGGAGGATTATCGAAGCTGAACACGAATCCTTGTTAGTCATTGCTTAAGCAGAGTGCTTAGTGACACGAGTCACACGACAATTAGTCTCCTCCTAGCTAGTGCGGTAGGGGAATGAAAGTAATCGTGTCAACGTTAACGACCATGTCAGTTGTGAGTGCTAATAAGGTAACAGCACAACTTGTGGTTAGGGTTCCGAATGAAGACGATAGCTTTCTAGCAGAACGCGTCACTGCTCGTCGCGCAATCAACCAAAGACTTATATCTCCCTTCTTTAATTAAATTCAGCCAAGATGCCGCTCGAGGCAACGATGATGATAATCGACAACTCAGAATACATGCGCAATGGAGACTATATCCCATCCCGCTTCGAAGCCCAGTCTGATGCTGTCAAGACCATCTTCCAGACCAAGATTGATTCAAATCCAGAGAACACTGTTGGCGTCATGACAATGGCTAGCAAAGGGTACAACTCAGTTACATGTGCAAACTACGATTGCTAATGTTTTCTTGCAGGCCCGAGGTTCTCGTGACCCATTCGAAAGACATTGGACAGATAATCAAGGCCTTGCATGTAACATCATCGAAAATTGGCGGGTCAATAGATATTCCTACTGCCATTAACATTGCCCAGCTTGCCCTCAAACATCGAGAGAACAAGAATCTGCGCCAGAGGATAATAGTCTTTGTGGGATCTCCGCTACAAGGACAGGGAGCGGATGAGCGGGAAATGGTGAAGCTCGCAAAGAGATTGAAGAAGAACAATGTTGCTGTTGACTTTATTGCATTTGGTGACGGCGTCGAGGAGGAAACTAATGTCCTCAAGGCTTTCGTAGAAAATACAACGAATAGCGATAACTCGTGAGTGTCACCTTGTCAGAATGCGTGCGTAGATTAATGCGCCTGGTCATTTAGACATCTGGTGTCCGTACCACCTGGTACACATCTATTGTCAGATGTGATCATTTCTTCCTCGATTCTGTCGGAAGACCGGGGGATACCACCAGAGGCGATGGGAGACGTCGGTGGTGCATCGGGTTCTGGTGGTGCCAACTTTGAATTTGGTGTTGACCCGAGTTTGGACCCTGAACTTGCATTGGTGCGTTGCTTTTTCTGACATCGAATATGGAGTCTTGTTGACATTTTATTTTTATTTAGGCCCTTCGCATGTCTATGGAAGAAGAACAAGCTCGCCAGGCAGCGGAAGAGCAAACACGTCAATCGGCTACCGATGCCACGCCTCAAGCGGAATCAGCAGGGGCAGACAAGGATGAAGAGGCCATGCTCGCTCAAGCTCTTGCCATGTCCGAACGCAATGATGTTGACATGGGTGAGGAGCAAGACGAAGATATGGATGAAGAAGAGGCAATTGCTCGGGCGATTCAGATGAGTATGAAGCAAGAGGAAAAAGAACAGGGGGGACAGTAGTACCAAGCTTACATATTCTTACTTGTATTTTCCTCCGAGTTACACTCCGATTTCTCGAACGGCTGTTAGTTTGATATTGGCGCTCAGGTGCTGAGCGCTCTGAGCAAATACTCATAACAACTGGCACAGCCACTTCGACCTCATTCCGAGTCCGTTCGTTTCCTCAGATTCTTCCCTTGACGTCTTCTTGAAATCCTCTATGCCATCATCACTCACTGCATCCCAAGAGGAGCTCAAGGCGGCCAAGGTGCCTTTGGCTTGGAGAGATCAGTGCTCAGCGTACGTACCTACTTTACCCTTCTGGTTGAAAGCTTATGACCCACAATACTGTTGTCCGTGATACTTCAGACTCTTGATACCTTTGAATACCTGTCGGAGAGAAAACTATTATTTACCTTGGACTTGCGAGAATGAGCGCCACGGCTATGAGAAGTGAGCTAAATCTCTACTCTTATCTGTTGAGGGTCTGACCAATACACCCAACAGGTGCCAATACGATGAGTAGGCATTTCGACCTCGTACCTACACATATGAAGCTCATTTTTCTACAGCATGATGCGGAGGATGAAGAAAATGTCAAAACTGGAACTCCAGCAGGCAGAGTAGACTGCAGAAGCTACCGAAGCTATCATCTAGAAGACTTTCTTAAGAACGCTTCATGTCAATCGATGTCGAGACGTCAAACAATGCAACAAGATAGATGAATGGTGTGATATGCTGAAGGCAAGATGCTATTATGTGCTGGAGTTCTACACTTTCCTCCCTGTCTCTTTCTCAAACTCTGAAATTTCCTTTTTTACCCGCTTCAACAACTTCTTCTGGTGTACTGCTCTGCCCAAACGCTTCAACGAACTGCCCATTTGGATCCATGAGGTAGACGTATATTGAATGGTCGACGAGGTAGTCACCCTTGGGATCTGCATTAGGCGGGGTGGAGAAGTAGACGCGGTAGGCTTTGCATGTGGTTTTCACGGTTGCATAGTCACCCGTGAGACCGATGATACGAGGGTGAAAGTCTGCAAGATATGTCTTCATTTGAGGGATAGAGTCGCGTGCAGGGTCAACGGAGATGAATACGGGCTGGAAGATCGTCCCATAATCCTTCTCTGTATTTGATGTGGTAAATGCGTGCCGTGGTTGAAGTGATTTATGAACACGAACCTAGAGAAGTCAAGACTGAACCAATCTTGTCTAATTCAGCAGGACATATGTCAGGACAGTTGGTGAAACCAAAGTAGACGAAGTTCCATTTCCCCAAGAGGTCTTTATCAGAGAAAGGCTTGTTTTCGTGGGTCGTTAGCGTGAAGGGACCACCCACATGCGGTCGTCCGACGCTTCGAGATTCGAGCTCCTTTTCTGTATGAATATTTTTCTTGAAAAGCTTTCAATAAGTGAAATACGGAGAGGCACGTACGTCGTTGTTCAAGGAGCTTTTGCTTCTCATAACGGAAGTAGTAAAATAAACCAATGCCGGTTGCAACGAATAGAGCTGCAGCCGTTGGCGTAAAGACCTGGGATCAGATGCAAGAATGTGAACAGACGATAACAGGTGAGCTAAAGAAGCGTACCCCGACAGCAGCCCTATCCGCCCCCGACGTAAAATAACGTCTGCCAGGTGCTGTTGCTTTGTTATGGCGCATGCATATAGATTGTCGTTGGCATTGAATGCTGCGACCTGGCAAACAGGGCCGCAATGACCTGAAATACGTGGATGAGAGCTTTGACATCTTCAGGTCGAAGTTCCAAAAGTAGTCGAGCTTGACAATCATATATAATTCTCAACATCTCAACATCGCTACCATTTACAAATAATTTTTGCACGGGATTAATGGCCATTGGCAATGCTTAGTACTTACTAGCTATGCTATGGGGTCACGGTGCTCTCAGGTTAAACGTGCATCAACGTGCTGCGTGAAGTCACTAAAGGTTCCCATCATTTCGAAGCTTCAACCTGTTACATAAAGAATCAAGTCCTTGTAGGTCCAAGACTCCAACGTTGCAACCACTGTTGACAGTCAACAATCATGTGGTTCTCTACTTTAGCATGTGTGACATTGACAACTGCCGCAACGCTGCAACCAATCACTTCGAGAAACATCGAGGGAAGCGTACGTTCCTCCGAGTCCAACAGAAACATCATCGAGGAAGGTAGGTCGCACTCTTATTTTACAACGAACATCAAGTTAAATTTAGGAAAAGGATGGGGAGCGGTGAAATGTGAGTACGGACTACTCGCTTTCAATCACCTCCTAACGTCGGAAATGATTGACAGCACTATTTGACAATCCCTCGAAAATCACAGACACGATACACGGTCAATTTGATCACCTACTCATTCCTTAAGGCTGCTTACAATATAACAGAAGATTTTGATTCTTTGTCTACTTCAGCACACACGTGGTACGAATCGCAATTTCCAGACACGGGAGAGTCTTTCTGGGACAAAATCATAGAGCTCGGTCCATATGTCAAGGATTATAGTGACGAGCTTTTTCATCACGCCATGGAGCTGTATCCATCCGAAAAGCTCGCGGAGTTCAGGGAATCTATGGTTAACGTCACTGCCACTGCCACTGTACTGCACAAAGTCTGTAGTGACGCTGCAGAGGACAGTGGCGTCTCTCTCTACTCCGTAACAGAAGAACTTGAGGACATCTTCACTGTCCTATTCGAAGAGCTTATGGAGATGTTCCCGCCACCTAACGAGGCTCCTGGTCATAACAACCGTACAATCATGATCAGCACGGCCCTCGATCGCATTGAGCAAAGTTTTTTACAGGTCGCTACCAAGGTCGGAGTCAGCGAAGAATTGTTGCAAAGTGACTCTAGTTCTCTCAAGTTCGCTGTTCAACAGGTTGCCGTAACCACAGGTACGTCGCGATCATCTGGCCATTCTGGAACATTGACGACATAATATTAAATGATACAGGAGACCTTGTCGAACAGCACCCCGTCATCGCCCGTGCCCTCTTGCTCGTTGCGATTGATATCTTATTACCTGAGATCGAAATCAGTGGATGGCTTCTTCCCCAACTTCTCCGTTTGTTCGGATTTGGACGGCAAGGACCAATCAAAGGTACGCTTTTGTATACTGTTGCGGTGCTGAGCAGCATATTACTGCGATATTTTAGGTGGAATTGCTGCGTGGTTGCAACGTTGGATATTTGGTGCCACTATCCCAAAGGGTAGCTGGTTCTCGGTGCTCCAGCGCCTAGCCATGATGAGTACAAAGCTTTAAGTATCATTGAAGTTGTTCGGGTTTCAGCAGTCGTTTGTTTCATGTCAGGGAAAACCCTCGGGGTCTGTTTTTATGTTTATACTTAAGGGACGATTTTTGATACCTCAAGTGTATTCCAGATTACATGTTGTAAATGTGCTCGAGCATCCACGAAATTGAGCCTAGGATCCAACCCAGTCAAGCAGTCTATTTGACCTTCCCTGTTTTTTTTTCGCAGTTGATACTGATAGCGTGGCCAGGCGTGTGAATCGTGTGGGTCCTGGTAGGTCCATGTGATTGGTGCGGTGAAAAAAAGTCAACCGTCAGGCCATCTATTCACAAGTCTTAGTGCTGCGATGCGGTTCTCTATTCTAGCATTTGTTGCATTGATACTGCAACCTGTCGTGTCCAGCAACATTGAGGAAAGTACTTGTTCTTACGACAATGAAAGTTTAGAGGTGGCCAACGAGGGAGGTATGTCGCCTCTTGGTCTCTAGAGATGAGACTTTTGATTTCGTCTCGGAAAAGGATGGGGACTAGTGAAGTGTGAGTACATCCGTAGCTCCCATTTTCAATTATTTAATGAGAATGTGTCAACAGCAACATTGTTCGGCAAGTCGATGCAAGTTGCAGGAACGTTACGCGGTCACTTTGATGGCCTCCTCAGTCATGAAGGCGCTGGCAGTCTCACAGAAAAACTCGACTTGTTGTCTGCTTCAGCATACATGTTGTACGATGGATTGCACATTCCAAGTGCGGGAGAGTCCTGGGACAACGTCGTGGGGCTCGGTTCAAATATCCGAGGGAATATAGACGAACTCTTCCAACATGCCAAGGAACTCTATCCCTCGAAGATATCGGAGTTCAAGAAGTCTGTGAATAGTGTTGCCAGTACAGCCACATCACTGCACCAAGTCGTTAAAGGAGCCGCAGAACAACGCGAAATTCCTTTCGATTCAGTATTAGAAGAACTTCGAAATACCTTGCAGGTCCTATTTGAAGAGCTTAAAGAGCAATTCCCGCCACCCGAGGAGGCTCCCGGTCATGAGAATCGTACTCTCATAATCAACACAGTTCTTGATCGTGTCGAGGAGACTTTTCTACGGGTTGCCATCAAGTATGGAGCAAGTGAAGAAGTCGTGAAAAATCACACCAGTTCTCTCATGTCAGGTGTTCAACATATTGTGGGGATCATCGGTACGTGACGCGTCACAAGTATTGAACCATTCTCGGACGTTGATGCTTTAATATAATACAGGAGACCTTTACGAACAGCACCCTCAGCTTGCATGGACCTTCTTTAGCATTGCGATTGCCCCGCTATTTGCACAGGGGCTTCTTCTCTCAGCCCTCAGGATATTTGGATTTGGGCCATTGGGACCAATTGCAGGTATGTTTTTATATGGTTGCGGCACTGAGCAGCCCCATTGATGTGATGACTTTAGGAACTGCTGCTGCATGGTTGCAAGCGTGGTTATTTCGTGGGGCTATCCCAGCAGGTAATTGGTTTGCGATACTTCAGCGCATAGCCATGAGAGGTGCAATGTTTTAAAGGGCTTCAATGCGGCATGCCAGTCGTGTAGATGATTGATCCATGAGATCAAAAACCTCGGGGTCTCTGATGTCTGTAATTAAAGGTTCATATCTCGTGAACATTTGTGCCATCTTCATAAACTGAATCTAGCGTCGAGTGTCCAGACCTATGCAAGGCGCTTTTCGGTTTTGGGGACAAACAAATATCCTTAGTGGATAAGACATGCGTAGATCTGATGCCAAAGTTCCTTGATGGCACTCACACGATTCCGAAGGCGCACATTCAAACGTTCACTAGTGGTGTAGCCGAGGATGGCTCCTCGATAGATTAAGGAGTCTGACTATTATTCGGTATGCTCCTGACCAGTCCGCCTATGAGGCAAACCGGTGATAGATAGATTGGTATGGTCACTATGGAAAGGAAAACCCATGAATTTAAGTAGGAGAAAACGTTGAAAGTCAATAGAGAGAGCCACTGAAACCAATGAGGTAGCGCAATGAATCGACGGCCATTGAATCCCCCGAAAAGACAATGGACATCAGTGGTGAAATCACTGATTGTTGTCGACATGGCCACTGAATTCAATGCGGCAAATCACTGACTTTCGATGGTGCGGCCACTGATTATTGATGACATAACCATTGAATTTGATAGGGTATATGTATTTAGCAAAAGAATATAGCACCAGGTTATGGGTGGCCACAGGCATATAGTACGTGGGCACATAGCATTTGACCCAGGATAATTTGGCATTGGCAGGGATTGAACCCAAGACCTCCGACAATGATAGCTGCATCATTGTTACCGCTAGGCCACAGGACCATTCTATATATCAACAATAATACAAATATATCCAACCGTCACATGACAAATAAATGCCAACATGTCTACCTTATCCGAGGAAGAGCGACAATTCCACCAAGTCAGTTTCACTAATGAAATTTATATCTCACACCACTGAGATTCATTGGCTAATCTGTCACATTTTGTTGTTTTCTCCGCATCATTTCATAGGTCGCGCCCATTTTTTTTGGTGATCCATTGAAATTCATGTGTCATGCCATTAAAATTCATTGGCTTAACCGCCAGATTTTATTGTCTTATCTATCATATTTCATAGTCACATATCATTGTTTACACCACTGAGTGCTCACACTGGCAATGAAATCTATGGTATTAGCCGAAACAATGAATACTCTTGCTCGCTGGATTCAGTGTTACACACATTGAGGCTCATTGGTTCAGTGCTCGAACCACTGAAATTCATTGTTTCTACTTCCCACAGTGTGGTGAAATAACACTGCTACCAAGTCACCTGGGCAATTTTCATTATCATTCGTACTTGCGCCCGCATTACGACTACTGCCATCTGACTGAGCTAGCTGCTGGGGTCGCGCCATCCTCAGTTTGTGTGCCGCATAGCGTGTGACGGTTCCTGTTTGCACAAGCCTGTGCGTGACCCTCGTTATCAGTGCTTCTGACCCTACAACTTACATCTCTCTTTGGGGTAGAATCCCAATCTTTGGAAGCCTGAGCATGTGCCAAATGATGAATCGTGTGGGTCCATTTGATTTCCGCCCTGCAATTGCACATTTACGTGTACGTACTGCAGTGCTTGATGTACACACACACCCTCAAGGCCTCGAGGCTTAGGTATGTGTTAATGTTGCCTCGAGGCCATGAACGCCGCTTCGATTATCGACCTGTCACATAAGTGACTTGGTGAATCGAATTCTGCAGAAGTTCCTCACACCTATATATATGTCCAGTGCCCAATTGTACAGTGAGCCAACGGCCCTCGTCTATCCCAGCACTATACTACAATGTACCAATTCATCGAGAAAGTCGTAGAACAATGCGGCATTCCTCTCTGCACCATATTGAAACACCTTGGAAACGCTTTCAGCACCCTATTTGAAAAGCTCAAAAAACTGTTTCCGCCGCCCAGCGAAGCTCCCGGCCATGAAAAGCGCATGGACAAGATGAACACGACTCTTGATCGTGTTGAGGAGTGTTTTTTGCAGGTCTTCAGCAAGCTCGGAGTGAGCAAGGAATTCCTTCAAAGTCTGACAGGTCCTCTCAAAACGGCTGTCAAATATGTTGTTGTGACCATCGGTGTGTCATGAATAAACAAGTGTTCCAGAACGTTGATAAACTCATATCAAATGATGATACAGGAGATATTTGGGAGCAGCATCCATACCTCGTGGCCATCCTTTTGTGCATTGCGATTGGCATGATATTATCCCAATGTCTTCCTGCGATTCTCGGGTTTGGGCCCTTGGGACCAGTGAAGGGTACGATTTTGTTACTTGTATAGTTGTATCGCATCAATACTTATAACATTTTTAGGTGGAATTGCTGCGTGGTTGCAAGGGTGGGTATTTGGCGGGGCTGTCCCAGCAGGTAGCTGGTTCGCAATACTTCAGCACCTCGCCATGGTGTGAGGAGCGTGGTTGTAGAGTTGGAGCGAGATTCCGTGAGTGTATGATCCATGACTGAACTTACCGTCGATCGAGACCTGTTAGTACGTTTGTATAAATATGACTTACATGTACATGATTTCTGATACATATGCTTGAAATTCGCTTGTTGATCAGTGTCGTATATCCATAGGGTTTTCATGCACCCTGTGACCAGTAAAATTAATGTTTGAGACAGCCCTCCAGGCAACCCACTGAGGACCCGCCAATTACTATGGTCCTTGCGCGAGGCTTCCAATATCAGTATATCGGTACTCACTGCTCAGTCCCGGTCAATTTGCTGATACCATCCAACAACTTGAAGATTCAATCAGGCCGCGCACTCTGCTTTTCGTGACTCAGACTAGACAGCATTGACTTCACTGCCAGTGTTGCTTACGACCTGCAAACATGTCACACCATCCCATCCCGCAATTCCATCAAACTTGGCAGTAATACTAGTGCACACAATTTTGTTGAATCTCGCACTCTCATAGCAACGTCACCTTTGTTGTAGCGCTGGGATGCCTCTTAGTGATGCGTAGTCTGAGACGCACGAACTTGAGAAATCAAATCATACACTAGTGAGGCTTCGAAAATCCTTAGAGGGAAGCCTCTGACCATAATATTGAAATTAGCTGAGAAGTTCACAGGCCGACGATCAAGACGTTTGCCTATCTCAAGCTTAAGGTTTACTGGTTATGTTGACCTGCATGTTGCCTCATGCCGTGAAGTCAACTTGTTACATAAGTGACTTTGTGAATCGAATCCTCGAATCCCGCACTGGTCCTCGCATATATATGCCCAATTGAGCCAGCGGTCATCTATCCAAGCACTATACTGCAATGAATTGGCTCTCTACTCTGGCATCAACACTGCGACCAGTTACTTCTGGCAACGTTGAAGAAAGCACACCTTCTTCTGATAAAAGCGCGGTGACCGAGACAGGTTTGTTGCACTCTTATCTCACGACGAATGTTACATTTTAACCTAGGACAAGGATGGGGAGTAGTGAGAAAGTGTACGTCCAACTGAAATCACTGTTTTAAATCATATACTGATGTCAGAATTGATTGACAGCACTTTTTGACAAGTCATCACAAGTCGCGGGCGCGGTATACGGCCAAGGCGCTGCAACAGTTGGCAGCCTGACGGAAAAACTTGGATCATTACCTGCTTCAGCATACATGTTGTACGGTGGATTGCCCTTTCCAAGTGTTGGAAAGTCCTGCTGGGACAAGGCTGCAGGCTTCGCTCCAAATACCAAGGGTTGTACAGATGAATTTTTCCAGCGTGCCAGGGAATTCTATCCCTCCGACAAGATAGCAGAATTGAGGGCGGCTGTAGATAGTGTCGTCGGCACAGCCACGACACTCTACCAAGTCATCAAAGAAGCCGCAGAACAACGCGGCATTCCTCTCTGCACCGTATTAAAAGACCTTGGAAACACCTTCAGTGTCTTATTTGAGGAGCTCAAGGAACGGTTTCCGCCACCCGATGAAGCTCCCGGTCATGAAGAGCGCATGAACATGATGAACACGGTTCTCGATCGTGTCGAGGAGTGTTTTCTGCAGGTCGCCGGCAAACTCGGAGTGAGCAATGAACTTCTCCGAAGTCTCACAGGTTCCCTCAAGACTGGGGTCAAACACGTTGTCGTGACCATTGGTGTGTCACAGATAATTGACCATTCCGGAATGTTGACAACCTAACATCAAATGATGATACAGGAGACGTTAGCGAGCAGCATCCATACCTCGTGTGGGCCCTTTCGGGCATTGTGATTAGCATGCTATTTGCCGAAGGGATTCTTCTCACGATTCTCCGCGTTGTTGGGTTTGGACCTTTGGGACCAATGAAGGGTACGATCCGATCTTGTATAGTTGTAACACAATAATGTTTATAACATCTTTAGGTGGAATTGCTGCATGGTTGCAAGGGTGGTTATTTGGCCCCGCTGTGCCAAAGGGCAGCTGGTTCGCGATGCTTCAGCGCTTCGCTATGATGGGAGGAGCGCGGCTGTAGAACTGGTGCGAGGCTCCGTGATTCGTGAATGTATGGTCTATGACTGAAACCCTGTCACGTTTGTACAAATATTACTTGCATGTAGTACATGATTTCTGACGCTTGAAGTTCGCTTGTTGCGTCAGCGGCATATATCCATGATAGGTAGCGAGTACCCATGAGGTGAAATTAATGTTCGACACAGCCCTCCGAGCAACCCAGGACCCACCATTTACTTCGGTCCTTTTGCAAGACCTCTGATATCAGTTCTCAGTTTGCTAATACCAAGCATCATTATCTAGATCGATTGGGTCACGCACTCTGTTTTTCGTGACTCAAGATTGGACACATTGACTTCACAGTTTCTCATGTCGGCACTTGCTTATGACCTGCCAAAATGACGCACAATACATCCCGCAATTCTGTTGAATCTTGCACTGTCACAGTAACATTACCTTTAATGTTATAGCACTGGGATGCCTCTTCTGTGGTCCAGGACCTAACCGTCGTAGGTTTATACACATAATGATTAATGACGCGTGATCTGAGACGCACGAGCTCGAGAAGTTAGATCAAATTATACACTGAGGCCTCCAAAAATCCTGCGTGAATATTGGGGGGAAGTCTCTCGTGACCATGATTGAAAATTGGCCAAAAAAAAGTCATAAGCTAACAACCCATGTGCATGAGATCTCAAGCGCTGAGCGCTGAACGGCAGCTGGAACGGCACAGAAACAAGTTTGGACCAGGTGAAATTGATACGGTCCTGCCGCGCCTGCCGCGGTCGTGACGCGCCTGTGACGCAGCACTGTAGGGTACAGATCATGTTCAAACTTCAAACAACTTCATATGTTATGTTGACAAGCCGAACACATCTTTAGTCGTCAAGCCGAGGATAGCGGAACTTCGGAATATCTGAGTGTCGGAGAATCAATAATATATATATGTCAAATATATGTCTTAGGAGACTTCTTCGCTTTGTAAAACGCTCTGCTATCTATACTAAGCGTTAAATTCTAGTCTTGTAACCTTCATCTCAAAATTATCCCAAACACTTTGAATCCTCGAAGTTAATGATCAACATATTCAAGACTCGTCAGTGCCGCGTCAATGCCGCGTCACATGCGCGTCACGACCGCGGCAGGCGCGGCAGGACCGCGTCAAAATAGCTACGTCCAACAAGTTTGCTTTACCCCAACAGCCCTTGGGATAGAGTATGGCTCTCTCATACAATGCTCCCAGAAGGCGCCTCGAAGACTCATTTCTGGATTTTGGGTTTTCAGATGTAGATAGACTGGTCAAACTGGGTTCGAATTTATTGGAAGCATTTTCAATTATCATTCGTACTTGCGCCCGCATTATGACTCTGCCATCAGACTGAGCTAGGTTCCTGCAGCTGCCTGGGGTCGTGCCATCCTCAGTTTGTGTGCCGTGTGATGGTTCCTGTTTGCACAAGCCTGTGGGTCACTTTCGTGATCAGTCTTTCTAACCCTACAACTCATATCTCGCTTTGCGGTAGGATCCCAATCTTTGGAAGCCTGAGCATGTGATTCGTGTGGGTCCATTTGATTTCCGCCCTGCACTTGCCCATTTACGTGCAGTATACGTACTACAGTGCTTGATGTACACACACACCCTCAAGGCCTCGAGGATTAGGTATGTGTTACTGCATGTTGCCTCATGTCATGAAGGCTTCGATTATCAACCTGTTACATCAGTGACTTGGTGAATCGAATCCCGCAGGAGTTCCTTACACCTATATATATGTCCAGTGCCCACCTGCACAGCGAGCCAACGGTCGTCTATCTCAGCACTATACTGCAATGTACCAATTCATCAAAAAAGTCTCAGAACAATGCGGCATTCCTTTCTGCACCATATCAGAATACCTTGGAAACACTTTCAACATCGTATTTGAAGGGCTCAAAAACTGGTTTCCGCCGCCCGGTGAAGCTCCTGGTCATGAGGAGCGCATGGCCATGACGGACGCAGTTTTTGATCGCGTTGAGGAATACTCTTTGCAGGTCGCCGGTGGGCTCGGAGTGAACAATACACGCCTTCAAAGTCTGACGGGTTCTCTCAAATCAGCTGTTAAACATATTGTGACCATCGGTGTGTCATGGATAAATGACTGTTCTGGAACGTTGATAAACTAATGTAAAATGATGATGCAGGAGATTTTAAGGAGCAGCATCCATACCTTGCGTGGCTGCCGGACATTGCGATTGGCATGCTACTTTCCCAAGGGTTTCTTCCTATTCGGATTCTCCGGATAGTGAAGGGTACGATTTTGTATAGTTGTAACACATCAATACTGATAACAATTTTAGCTAAAATTGTTATGTGGTTGCTATGGTACTCAATTGACCTCGTCGTGCGAAAGCGTAGGTAGTTCGCGGTGCTTCAGTGCTTCACTATGTTGGGAGGAGTGCGCGCGGCGCTGTAGAGCTGGTACGAGGTTTCGTGAATGTTTGGCCCGTGACTGAAACCCTCGATCGGGCCTGTTGCGTTTGTATTACTTACACGCACATTACTTGAAGTTCACTCGTCATATATCCGTAGTAGGCAGTGGGATTTCATGCACCCTGTAAGGCAAAATCAATGTTTGACTCAGGACTCACCATTTACTTTGACCCTTGCGCGAGACTTTTAATTAGTACTCAGTACTATACTCAGTCCTAGGCCTTATCAAGCTCATAACAGTCTTGAAAGCCCTTGGGATACAATATGGCTCTCTCATACAATTCGAAGCCATACGTCTGCAGCGGAACATGCTTAGGCAGAACAATTATTGCGGAGCAACTCCAACGGCACCTTATTAAATTATCATGACAATCAATATCTGACTTAAACTGAATATCTCTGTGTGATTTACAATGTCTGAATAATCTAATTGAGACAATAATCTATTTGCCTGGAACACGTTGTACATGCTCTGTCCTATTTAGATGCCTATCGTCTTTCAGAAACAACTTGGATCATTACCTCCTTCTGGAACAAGGTTGCTGGTCTCGGTCCAAACATCCAGGGGCGTACGGACGAATTCTTCCAGCGTGCCAGGAAGTTCTATCCCTCTGACGAGATACTTAACAGAATTGAGGAAGGCGTCGCCAGCACAGCCGCGATACTGTACCAACTCGTCAAAGAAACCGTAGAACAACGCGGCGTTCCTATCTACACCGACCTTAGAAACACTTTTAGTATCCTATTTGAAGAGCTTAAAGAACAGTTTCCGCCGCCCGATGAAGCTCCCGGTCATGAAAATCGCATGACCATGATGAACACGGTTCTTGATCGTGCCGAGGAGCGTTTTCTGCAGGTCGTCGGAAAACTCGGAGTAAGCAATGAACGTTTGAACTCCTCCAAGGTCTCACAGGTTCTCTCAAGTCTGGCATTATGTAAACACGTTGTTGTGGCTATCGGTGTGTCACGAATAGATGATCATTCTGGAACGTTGACAACCTGATATCAAATGATGATGCAGGAGACATTACCGAGCGGCACCCAAACCTTGTGTGGGCCCTCGGATATTGTGATTGGAATGCTATTTGTCAATACCCATCCTCTTCTCACGATTCTCCGCGTTGTTGGGTTTGGGCCATCAAGGGTACGATGCAACGTATCAGTATTTATAACGTTTTCAGGTGGAATTGCTGCGTGGTTGCAAGGGTGGTTATTTGGCCCCGCTGTGCCAAAGGGCAACGGGTCCGCGATGCTTCAGCGCCTCGCCATGATGGGAAAAGCGCGGCTGTAGAACTGGTGTGAGGTTCCGTGGATATTTGGTTTATTATTGATTGAAACCCTCGCGGCCTGTTGTATTTGTACAAATATTACTTGTACATCGCACATGATTTTTGACGCTTCAAGTGACAAGGAAGTCAGACCTACTATCAGAGTCTCCATCGCCAATATCAAAACCGACAAACTCACGCTATGACTTGGCAGCAAGATAATCATATTCGCAAAATTACAAAAGGTGCTGCCATAAGAGTAGAAAAATAGGATAGAAAGAAGTTATAAAAGTGAAGTTGGAGTAAATTAAAAGGTGCAAGTCGCCGAACTGCATGCGGTGAATCAGAAGGAGATCGTGTAACACAGTACTTTTTCACGTACCAATGGTTGTAGCAATCCGAAGTGGGTAGAATAGTCAAGATCGGTCATGGATGGTCTCGGGGTCATCATGGAGTCGAAGTGAAGGGCGCAATTTGCCGAACTGCAGGTGGCGTATCAAAGCAAATTGTATAGTATGTTGATTGCTCACATACCGGTATTTGCAGCAGGCCATAGTGGATCGAAGGGCTACGAACGGTCTCGAGAGGCCTGAGAGGTTGCGAAGCTCGTCAAGTCGGTAGGCCATGAAACACTTGCATTTTGCGCGGCAGAGCAACTGGTTACACGAAGGCCGCGGTAGGAAGAACGCGCTGGGGCGGAACTCCGCGGATGGTCACACATGACGCACGATATGCAAGGCGATAGGGGTGTTGACAATTCGCAAAGGTCAGGATAATTGGTGAAGGATCTCGATGAGGTCGTGAAGGGTCATGAGAAGTCGTGAAGGTCGTGAAGGTCGTGAAGGTCGTTAAGGTCGTTAGAGTCGTAAAGTCGTAAAGTCGTAAGGTCGTGAAAGTCGTGAAATTCATGAAAGTCGTAAAAGTCGTAAAGGTCGTGAGAGGTCGTGAAGGACTCGGTGGGTCGGAACAAGCCGTCAAAGGTGTGAAGGGTCGTGCATATCATGCTATTCTGCAAGTCGCTACGAAGGTAGTAGACATGGAAAGCCATCGTCAAGGAATGACGGTGGTAGTGAATGTCGCAAGTTAAAGTCGGCCATTGTTATCCGAGGGAACGCCCGGAAACAAGAGCGACCATGCATGGTTACGAAGATTGCACCTGACGTGTAGGACACATTTCCGGGTGCTGCATACCGGCAGCAAAGAGGGAACGAAAAACGAGGGTGGGATAAGACATCGTGCGATGGTAAACTGCGCTGTGGAGAGACAAAAATGATATCCGCGACCAGCTGAGGTGGTGCAAGAAAGTGTCGTGAGCTCGTAGGGGCCACGGATGTTTGAAACCACGCAAGGGCGACGGAAGGTAATGATAGGTTAGGGGATCACGCGGTGCTGAACTGCGGCGCAGATGATGATAATGATATCCACGACCAGCCGAGGTGATTCAGGAAGTGTGGTAACTTCGTAAAGAGCCACGAGCGTTTTCCATGCAAGAGCAACGGAAGGTAAGGGTATGCCCGGATATCACGTGATGGTGCCCTACGACGCGGAAGAGGAGCAAAATACGCACGACCAACTGAAGTGGTGTAAGCGAGTACGGTAAGCTCGTAAAGGACCGCGAGCATTTTAATCCATCCAAGGACGACGGAAGAAAGGCAAGAGTAGGCTGAGATATCATGCGGTGCTGAACTGCAGGAGAGATGAGGATATCCGCGGCTGATCAAAATGGTTCGAGAAAGTGTGGTAAGCTCGTGAGAGCCACAAGCATCTGGAACAACGTAAGGACGGCAGACGGCAAGGGTAGGCTGAGATATCATATGGTGCTGAACTGCGAACGGAAACGAGCCTGCAATGATGACCAGAAATTATTGGAGCTGTGCGAGAGATTATCGCAAGGCTACCCAAACATCACGCACGATGCTGTTGTCGCGAGGGAGACTTGTCCTGTCTTGCGGATGATACAAAACAAAACAAGGCTGCGAAGGTGGCCTTGAGCAACCAGAGCAGGAGATGCGAGGTATCAGGTACATTGCGAGAATGCAAGGTATGGCGTTCGGATCCTGCTGCAAAACGAAATTGCCGACTGCAAATGATTGGAGCTGCATAAGAAACCACAGATTAGTCATAGAAGGCGCGATTACTAGAAAACTTTACAAAGATGATGACGTGAGGATGTCTTCGAGTGCTACAAAATGAACTGACGACTGCAAGAATAAACTGCCAAGAACCAGAGCGCAAAATGGTGGTAAGCATGGTAGGAAAAGGCAAGAATTCAGAAAGCCTTACAAGGGTGATGACGCAAGTGCGCGGGGAATGTGATAGAATACTGTAAACAATCGGAGAGACAGTAAGCGAAGTGGAAACGAGATGGGAGTTAAAGATCTTACAAGATATATGGATAGAGGGATCTTGTGATGCTGCAAAATAAAAAATAAAGCACACAAGATCAAAAATAAATGGGAGCACTACCAAGTTATCCGGGAATGTCGAAGTTGAAGAGAAAATAAAATAGGAAAAGACCAAAGAGGAATACCAAGACATAGAAAGAAAGAGAGTATGGGGTTTTGTCGTTTTCTGTATGATATCGAGACTGAGATGCAAATAGAAACCGACACGATGCAAGTTCGAGAAAATCTGCTGCTAGAAAGATGAGGATGAGGGAATCGAAACGAATGTTGCGTCAGGGTTGAAACTGGGAGGTGAAGGTCGACAGTTGACATGTGGACGTCCAGCGATCGAGATATGCTCTTGACGCATCGCCCTGTCGATCCAGTTCCAAAAGGACTCCTCGCCCTCGATACAAGACTCTAAGGTGTCATGGCATCGTCACCGAATCGAATATCGAGGTCGAGCTGCGAGAATTCCTTAGACGCGAGATTGACATTAGTCGGGATCCCAGACCAATATTGTTCGTCCGTGAACGGAACACAACCTTCAGTGAAACTCTGCGTTCGTGGCTCACCATTAATGATATCGATACACGAGTGTGCGTCAATCAGGTAGCTGGATTGAATTGGGGTGGCGAGGGTGATAAAGAAGCACCCGGCGGGCGAGCGACGGTGATTAGAACCAGGGAAAAGGGGGCTAATACGACCTGTTATCGGAGCGATGATGACTTCATCATTATCTGAGTCTATATCCGAGACTGACGCCAGGGAGGGTGTCGAGCCGTAATCGTCAACAGACCCATCTTCAGTTTCCGACAATGAGGACTTTGAGTCGGACGGGGTCGCAAGAAACCTAGGGTAATTCTCGTCGTCGCAATCGTCGTCACGGTCAAAGTTGACAATTGGATGCTTGTCATCTGCGGAAAGTCGCAAGTCCTCATTGACAAACCGAAGGAGGTCGAAGCCATCGCTGTTGACTTCCAAGATTGAATCGCGGACAGGCTGTTGGCAATCAGTCTGTTTGTCAAGAAGTCGGATAAGGTCGAGGATCGCAGACTCTGAGGTACCACCAGAGACATGGTTTAGGGATGTTTCCGATTCGTCCATGGAGAGCTGCTGAAGGTCCGATGTGAGCTCGTGGTCGGTACCGTACTCACCCTTTTTGGAAATGGAGTTTAGCGTGCGGCCCTCGAAAAAACCTTGAAGGATGTCCTTTTCGTCGGTTAAGGAACCTGGATAGTCAGGCGTCGGAGAAAGTTGCTCGTTGTAGCTATTTAGCTCCAGATGCAAGTCAGCATCCTCTTGGAGGGGGAAAGAATGAGTCTCGTCCTCGAGGAAGTCTAAGTAGTCCCATGTTGGAGAAGTATGTTTCCTCGCTGAACAAGTGTCGTCAGAGATGTCGTCACACCCCTCGTCACAACTGAAGCTATTGTAAAATTCGACTTCCTCATCGATAGACTGCAGAAGATCGTCCATCAGGCGGGAGTTGATATCTTGATAGTCCTCCTGCTCTTCACCGAAGAGATGCGTTTCAGCAAGAGAACGGTAGCATCGCGGAGGGATGCCACTTTCCACGTTGAGAGCATCCGCGAATTTGCTGAAATCCACTTGGCCATGGCGACGCGCAATGGGCGCAATAGGAGACATGTCGAATGCCTGAAGAACGATATCCGAGGGAGGATAATTGAGCTTAATCGCGAGTGCACTAGCCAAGTCAGACATTTCGACCAGACCATGTCGACGGTCATTAGGGGAACGTGGTCCAGTGGGAAGGGTCGAAGGAGAGGGTAGAGGACCTGGTAGAGTAAGGAAGGCACCACCCCGAAGTGTTGTACCGACGACTGAAATGTCGAAGTTGTAGGATCGGGGAGGCCACTCGCATGCAACGACAGTCATGTAATGCTCGCAAGTGATTTCTGGGACGTCTACGTGTGGTTCGGCAGTCTCTGACAGTAGGGAATCATGAAGAGTGGCCTCTGCGGATTCTGAAGAGTAAATGGAGATATCGTCATCGGATTCCTCATGCTGGGGTTCGTCCTCTTTCTTTTCGAACAGACCTAAAGCACGCTGGAAAGACTATGTAAGTACCGCAGTCAGCCACCGATGTCAAAAGAAGTGTGGTTACGCACCAAGGGACTGACAAAATCCTCGTCGGCGACAGTTATAGCGATAGTAGGGACTGAAATCTACGAGTAAAATATAAGTGGTTGATGATGATGATGATGATGATGATGATGATGATGATGATGATGATGATGATGATGATGATGATGATGATGATGATGATGATGATACGAGACTATATTACATACCTGAAGTCCACAATCGTAGTCTGCCTCCGTAACGTCCACCTCCCCATACTGGTCAACACGCAGTTGATCATCAGTCGTTTGGCTAGTTATCGCAGTACCAGTTTGGACCATGGGAATCTGGAACCATACAATGTCAGCCTCATCTGGAGTCATGACGATAGAAGAGCAGCCACATACCACGTCAACGTTGCATGTGGAGGCAACATGCTTGACTAGTTGATTACTTCCCAACTGGACTGCTGAACGATCGCAGGCCAGAAATGTATCGTATGGCGTGTCGGACGGCGAGAATAGTACTGAACCATTGCGGGGCAGAATGACTGGTGGTACAAGGCCGGGCAGCTTGGACTGGGAAATAGTGTCTTTGCGACGACGACGGTAGAAATATCCCACCACGGAAACGATAGCGACTGCGAAACACACGAGGCCACCTTTCCAAAGATCATAGGTAAGGACAGTCGTGCCGGTGGGCGAAATGGTCGAAGGAGTGACGAAAGGCCCTGAGAGGACAGAGGTTGAATGCACTGCGGAAAGCAACATGAGAGTAGATGTGGGGGCCATGGTAAAGCAGTAAGACAATGACAAGATGAAAGCAGTACACTGGATGTTCAAAAGATGCGGAGGTGTATATATATGTCAGCCAGAATTTGGAGGTTGACAGTCCTGCCAGCATCGTCAACCACTGTCAGCCATCCTTGTACCTTCAGTCATGTCAGCCATCATACTTCGTCGTGGCACCTTAAATTAACGATATCATAACCTGACATCATCGCGTATATGGGTGATATGGATGATTGCTGGATGTCACCAGTAATCGAATTCATGCCATGACATTCTTCATCGCTACCGAACTTACAACGATATTGTCGATGATGGAACGCTCACGATCCAGGTTCCCTTGCACCTCTTTCAAGGCCGACTCTGAGTCCAATTTATAATGCTGGAAAAGAGATGAGATTCTTGATATCGCATTAATATGTTGTTGCACACCTTTTTGATAATTGACCAATCCGTCATTTTAACCAGTGCTTGAAAAGGAACCATACACCCTTGGATAACGTCGCACATGCGACGCTGTAGATCAGGGGTATCTGAGACATCTACACGGACAACAATGAGTGTGGTTGATTCATCCGATACCCCATATCGTCGGATGGCTTCTGTGATCTAAAGACATTTTTAATAGTGAAATTAAACAATCATCGAGTAGATGGCCACGCGTACATTATTGGTGGGGTTCAGTGCCCATAGTATCTCTGAGTGGACAGTTTTAGTCCGAAGTTGACCCTGCGCCTCTGACAAAAGCGCCTGATAAATTGCTGTCTGGAGGTGAAGTGGGCTTGATATCTGGGACACCTAGTCAGTAACAATGCATAAATACCGGAGTCGACATTCCTACCAGCCGTGCATCAATGAAGGCGAAGTTGACAGCTTCACGTTCAGTGTTTCCATCAACACCGAGATTTCTAGCGGCCTGAACAATACGAGACCTGATGGCGGCAGCGTTCGTCACATCATCGAATAAAGCCACACGAACAACCGCATGATTAAACTGAGAGTAGTAGTATGTCTCCATCGATCATGGCAGTGAGCAAGAACCAAATAATAAATACATAGCTATCTTGCATTGTCATCATAAGCGCTTAGCACTCACCACAACTTCACTTTTAACTGCCATCATCAAGTCATACATATTCTTGCCTGAGGACTGCTATTAGTAGTCTGGATTCCATGCTGGCATGAGATTCACTTCTTTATCTTCGTCGTTGTCACTTTTCACAACATGGTTCGTGCTTCAAGCCACTGCCGCCCCGGCGGCAGGCTCACAGGTCCTAACCCCTCAAGATTTCAAGCAGACCATCGCAGATGGTGTTTGGTGCGTCTTTTTGTAGAGCCCTTATTTTTTTTTCAACAAGGAGGGATAGGTTCATCGAACATTTTTCCCCATATTGTCGGCATTGTCGCAACTTTGAACCGACATGGAACCGTGTAGTAGACAATTTTGAGAAAGAGAAACCCGATCTAGGGATACATTTGGCACAGGTGAATTGTGCATTGAATGGAGGTGAGCGAGCTCTACAAGTTTTCCGGGCCACTACTCAATCGTGGAAGACTTGTGCACCGAGAACGGTGTTACAGGATACCCTCAAATGAACCTCTATCGAAACGGGCTGTTTGTAGAGACCTTCACTAAAGATCGCGACTTCGATATCCTTGTAGATTTCCTTCTTGCACGTGCTGAACATACCGCAAATTCCTTGTCATCCTCTACTGCGGTTGAGCAGGAGGAAATGGTAGCTGAAATCGTTCCTGTAGACGAGAATTCGGTGGTCCATGTGTCGCAGGCAGAATCCAACCCTTCAGGAGATGTGATATCCTTAACTAGCGAGACATTCGACAACTTTGTGTCGCAGACACCTACATTTGTCAAGTTCTTTGCACCGTGGTACGCTGCATCAATTATAGACCAAAATTTGTCTTAACAGTCGTTTGTTAGGTGCGGACATTGTAAGAAACTCGCTCCAACGTGGACACAGGTTGCTCGTCGCATGCAGCACAAACTCAATATCGCTGAAGTCAATTGTGATGAGTTCAAGTCGCTATGCTCGAAGCAAGGGGTCACAGGTTATCCTATGCTATTCTACTATTCTCACGGAGCAAAGACAGAGTACTCAGGAAGTAGAAAATACGAGCCACTTGTGGCTTTCGCTGACAAGGCAGCATCTCCGTAAGGACATTTTTCCAGAGTCATAAGGCGCTTCTTAATGTTTGCTTACAGGACCATGCAACCAATAAGTGCTCATGATCTTGACAAGGTTGTTCACGAAAATCCCGTTGCGTATGTCCTACTTTCTTCATCACATGAACATATTGTCGTACGTGCACTGCATTATGTGCCTTGTTTAGTACTGACAACATTTCAGAGTGAGGTCGCTAAAGAGTCGCAGTTGCTCCTCGGCTCGCCCCCGGTATTTGTATCATCTTCCAAGGAACTCTTTACTCGCTATGACATCCCAGCGACAGAATCCTGGGCCATCCTAGCATTCAAAGATAATGACTCAAAGGAGCCCACCTCAGTCTTTAGTCCATCCAATTCTGACACGCTTAGCACTTGGCTATTCGCCAACCGCCTCCCAACCTCCCTCGAGCTCTCGCGTGATGTATTCCAACAGGTAATGAATGCTCCACACAACCCACTCGTTGTGATCGCTGCGACGCCCAACGACGTTCAAAATGATGTCTCATCGAAGTTGAACGATATTGCAAAAAAGTGGCGCCTGCGCAAGAGCTATGTTGGGAAACAAGATGTGGTATTCACGTGGATGGACGCTGATCAATGGGGAAGTTGGATGAAGAGTATGTACGGTGTGAAGGTCAAAGAGCAGCCGAAGGTGGTGGTTGCTGATCATAATGTGAGTAAATTGTAATTCCTGTTCTTTTCATGTATCATAGCTAATAATTGGATAGCGCCTAATCTATTGGGATAGGGATACTTCTGGGCAGCCCATTCAGCTAAACACCGTCAGCATATTCTCTGCTATTGAAGGAATTTACGACAGCAAAATACGTTCCAAGCACTCGGAGAACATCCTAGAGCGCTCTCTTCGGGTATGCGTCACTATGTCGTTATCAGCTCCTCACTCACAACTGCATACACACAGGTCTTCAACTCAAGTCTCACCAGCACCGAGGGTTTCATCATCGCCCATCCATACATGGCCGTCCTGCTGATTCTTGGATTTTTGGCAGCGGTTGTTATGGCGATCAAGAAACTTTTGGATGATGATACGGATCTGCAGCCCGGGCATAGGTACATCAAGGGTGGTCGTCTAGATTGATTTATGGACCTTTTCCTCAAACTCAAACGTGAATTTACTAGGAGGGAGTCGGCGTGATTGTCGGTAAGCCCGATTGCAAGGCCAGAAATCGAAGCACTTGGGTTGTCAAACCATAAGTTTCGGTATTACATACATGCGTGCTTGAACATTACACAGCACCAAATAAAGCAGCCGACGACATGCGACACGGCTGCCACTTGTGCACGCATCACGGATGGTTCATGCATGGCTGCAGTGCAGTCAGACACCCAATCATTCGTCTCAAGGCGGAACACGCGGAAGCCTCGAGGCAATCATTCTTCTTGATGAGTCTTCTCTTAAGTACACCAGAGCCTCAAGGCTTTGCGTTAGCATCCTATCCCCAACTCTCCTATCATGTCACAGTGGGAATCATTACCAGCATGGCTGCAAGTGAGTAAATTGGTCGTCTGCTTGGTGACTATTGATGTACTTATTGTGGCCCTAGAATCAAGTCAAACAAATTGAACGAGGATCGTTATCGTCCCTTGCGTCTCTCAAATCGCTCAACCGTTCTATCTCTTCTAAACAGTCCTCTGATCATTTGCGTCCTTACTTTCAAACTCTCATTCCTCTTTTTTTCGTTCATCTCGATCCAAGGCTCGCCCCCCATGAGATCACTTCAGATTCTGCACATTCAATTATGCTTGCTAAGGTGTCCATCATGGGCATCAGTTGCCTATGCGGAGAGAATCAAGGAGAATTACGTGGTGCACCCCAATTTCGTCAGAAGCTGTCCGACGCTATACATTCACATTGGAGTGGGGTATCTGCATGGGTTCAATTTTTCTACCATAATTTCCTCGTCCCGCGGGATGACCCAGTTGCACGCCTACACAGGATCTACAGTGTAACCTCGCAGGAAGCTGCCAGCACCTCAATACGGTTTATCTATGTGGCTAGCGTGCTTCCCGGTGTTGTCGCACATCTCTATCGAACAACACCGGATATCGAGCGAATCATCATGGAACTCTGGTACTTGGTAACGGACATCAAACGCGAAGATTGCATTGTTGATCCATATCTTCGTCACTGGCGTCAGGACTTCAACATGCTTCGCGCATTCATGGCCCATGTAGTCACCTCGTGCGTGTACTATGAGCCTCCTAGCACTCCTCTCCCGCCTTTGACATCGCTCATCGAAGCCGCTGGAGGAAGGACCCCTATGGTTTTGGCTGCTCTCAAATGCCTACGTTTTGCAGGAAAGGGAGCGGCTCAGAGAGACCGCGACGTGGTCAAGCATGACCTTGATCTTAGCCCCTTAAATACACTCTCATTGACGTGCAAGCAAACCCTCATCTTCATGTTTGCTACAAGCCAGGCAGACCCTGTCATTTGCGAACTCTTTCTCACACATTCCTCAATACGCACAGTTCTCAACACGCTGGCCGGAATAGGGACACGTCCAGGTACAGAGCCTAACCTGGATCCTACCAATGAGAGCTTCTGTCAAAAGACTGCAACAAAGCGGGCCGCTATGGCTATTGGTCATCAGTATATCTCGTTCGTGCTGGCGTGTTCTAATAATCCCATTGAAACTGCCTGCCATGCCCTACGTTGCCGTCTTCTGGAGGTCCTCCTACGGAACTGTGTATTCCCCTCGGAAAACCGCGTGCACAAGTCCAGGTGGTCTGATTATGACATCAGGATTTTTGAACAGCTGGGAGGGATGCTAATCTATGAGAGAGTCGTTCGTATTGCCTC